CGAAAATTTTTTTTTTAATGGTAAGAAGTAAAAAATAAGCATGAAAAAGTATGACAAGCGCACCAATTGATATCCATCAATCCTGAAAAACCATGCATAAGTTCTCAAGTGAATCAATTATTGCCTTACTCCCTCCATTTTTAATTGTTAGAAAAACTACTATTTTTCAATTGTATTTTTTATAAGCAAAATCACCCATTTAATAAGCATTTATTACACATTTTTTAAATTGTTGCTCATAATTTACATTAATGAGAAATAATTAATGTAAGCTTATGTTGATTAACACAAAGTATTTTAGTCCATTTTTTTATTTTCAAATATAATTATTATAATTAATAACTTTTTTTAAACTGTATGATATAATTTATATTAATATATATATAATATATATATAAGCTGCGGAAGTACTATGATGGATATAGTTATGGTTGTGATTTGGTTGCGTGAGCATGATGATATACGTAGTTGCGAGGTTTGGTGCACATATGTGTCAAACACTGTTAAACCTAACTACGACTTACATATAGGAACATATGTGGGTGGATGTCTTTTTTCTTTTAAACCACGTATAGGTTCTCTCGAGTTGATCAATTATTTCCTTGCTACGTCCTCTGTTTTATTTATGGAAGAAACTATCATTTTTAGTTTGTTTTTTTATATAAACAAAATTACATTTTTTAATAAACATTTATTGTAAATTTTGTAAATTACCTCTCATAATTTATCATTCATAGTCATAAGAAACAATTAATGAAAGCTTGATCAATACAATCAATAAATGGTATTATAGTCTAATTTTTTTATTTTTAATACAATTAATATAGTTAATTAATTTTTTAAAACTGTGTGATACCCTTTTTTTTCCCCTCCTACAAATAGAAATGCAGGGAGTATGATGGATATAGTTGTGGTTATTATTTGATTGCCTTATATACAGTACAATGGATATAGTTGTAGTTCTGATTTGGTTTAAACAAAAAAAAAAAGTAAAAAGAATAAAGTGTGTAAAATTCTAACTAGGTCTCTATATAAAAATTCAAAAAGTGATGTTATGTTCCTTTTTCTCTCTCTCATAAATGATAATTTTAGAAATACATTTCAAGTATTACCTGAAAAATTATACCATGACTTATAAATAGAATCAAATGAACATTTTAAAATGTTTTCTGTAAATGAAATTAGAGAAAATAATGATAAAAAAGGGCTTAAAAATTACAGAAAAGGAAGAAGATAATTGACAAAAGTCAATGTAAAAATGTTTTGAGGGAGAAAGAGGGTTCTGAGGGTGAAGGAGGAAGAAGATAAAGGTGTGATATTATGAAAGAGAGAAGACAAGGTCATGATGGTAAGATTGTGAGAGAGAAGAGAGAGGGCTAGTGGTTGAAACCAATATATCATGAGATTCTATATTTTATTTTTAAATTTTTTTAACATTATATGTAATTATAAATTTATCATCTAATATTTTTAAATTTATTGATTCTTAGTTATAACAAAGATTTGAAAATTTAGTTAACTATATATAATATTTTCTCTAACTCTTATTATAAGTCACTTTTTAAAAGGAATATTTGGTCCTTAATATAAGATACTTAATGAAAAATTAATTATATTTTTTAAATGTTACTAGTATTTAAATTTATTAATTGTGAGGGAGAATGTAATGCAAATCTAAAAAATTTTAAATTGAAATGTTATAATATTTTTTAACATAGTTGATAATTTAATCATCTTTAATTTTTATGAGATAGTTAGAAAAAATATTTTATAATAGGAATAGGAGGTATTAATTAATTTTTTGAAAATTGACCTTCCCCAAGCTTATGAGACTGATCGGCCACTGACTATGCATGTAGTTGTGGTTTTGATTTGGTGAACATGTTGAGCGCTGTTAAACCCAAAACTGAGACTTTTATATATACAGGATCAATAACAAGTCTTATTTAAAAAAAAAGTTATGTTCTCATTTTAATATTAAGAAAAAATATACATTTTGATTTCTATACTTTACTTGTATTTTATTATAAGTTCTTGCACTTTTTTTTTTTTATATTTCGGATCACTACACTTTCATTTTTTTTAGTATTCTAGGTCCTTAAATGAACAAAATGAACAAAGTTTAGAGATCTTAAATGAATGTAAAACACGGGAAATGAAAGTGTATGAACCTAAAATATTCAAAAAAAATATAAAAATTTATAATAAAATATGAATAAAGTGAATGAATCAAAAATATGTTTTTCTTAATAACTATCAATTCTGTAATAAGTCTTGTCTGTAAATAATTGTCTATCAACATCATATCCATCATAAGTTTTCTTGAATTAATCAACTATTGCCTTAGCACGGTGTATGTAGTTGAGGCTGTGATTTGGTTCACGTGGAAACAACATAACACGTAAACCCAATAATGGAAGCTGTTATCAATTATTGATGCTTGGCCGACATGTTCACATTTTTTTCCCATTTTGTTGAAAACAAAAACTAAATACCTGAAATTACATAATAACTAAGTTCCTTTTTTTCACTCTAAATGGGCTCTGATAAATGAATTATGTTATTTATGTCTTTGCAAGTAGTAAGTAATAAACTATATCTTGTATATATTGATGACGTGATTGTATAAGAAAATTGGTAATGATAATAAAAAACTTAAAATTGGAATGTCCTAGTTGCTTCATTTGATCTTCAATGCTATATTTATTTTAGGGTTAAATTAGCAAATTTGCCTATAAATTATAGATATAAGAACGCTTGGAACTTTAATTTTTTTTTTCTTTTGTAATATTTCCTTTTAGTTTTTGAAAATGTTACAATTTGATTCCTACCATAAAAAAAAAGTTAATTTTAACCATTAATTAATAAAAAAATATAAAAAAGGCTTAAAATTATAGAAAATGATCAAAAATTATAGTATAAGACCCAAAAATTATAGAAAGGGACAGAACTTTTTTTTTCCTTTTTCTTAATAAATTATGAAGTTCTTTTCTATTATTTTTTTGACCAACTAATAGTCAAAGTTAACTTTTATTAATTGTAGAGGCCAAATTGCACTATTTTCAAAAGTTGAAGAAGAACATTATACCAAAAATGAGTTGAGGGTTTAGATATCTAGATCTATAATTTATGAACTAATTTGCTCTTTTATTCTTTGTTTAATTTATATTATATATTATTTGCATAGATATAAAAATAATTTGCTATAATTTCTTGAATTTTATTTAAACATTACAAAATAAATTTATACTTTTCTACTGAATATGAAAATTAGGCAATCTTCGTGGAAATCTTTCCAATTTTGATCCTTATTCCAAGCATAATTTAGTAACAAATTATTGTACGTGTTGATGCCAAATAATGAAATCAAATTTAAAATATGCAAGAAGAAAATAGACATTGAATTAAGCCACCCACTGGTAAATCTAGTCTGGGGAAGGAGGACAATGGCTCTATGCATCTTGAATTAATGTTTTTGGCGTTTTCCACCAGATGTCTATTTGAAAATTAATTGCGATGGGACTTGTCACCAAAAAAAAAAAAAAAGGTATTGCAGCAATTGGAATTGTCTGTAGGAACCACACTGGTGAGTTCCAATGTGCATTTGTGGAAAAAAATTAAGTCCCTCTCAGCATTTATGACAGAAGCCATGTCCCTGAAAAAGGCTTTGATGCTTGCCATAGATTTAGGAAGAGATAAGGTTGTGTTTGAGATTGATTGCTCCACTCTTGTTGCTTGTATTCAAGATCGAAGACCAGCATTATGTGAATGATTTAGTGGAGATTTGGTCTTAGATATCATAGATTTGATAATGTCCAATACTGGTTTTTCCATCTCTGTCACCAGGCGTGAAGGTAACAAAGTAGCTGATTTGTTGGCTACTGATGCTTGTAAGGATGTGTACCCTTTGGGATAGGTGTCAACACCTCCACTTCCTTTGCTTAATTTGCTAGTTATGGATGTCATAAGAGCTGGGTTGTTTGCAGAAGAGCATCTGCATTCAGATGGTAGAATGGGTGATGGCTGATTCTGATGTAACACCTCAGTTTCGCTATTTGCTTTGTTTTTTTATTTTGGCTTTGTTGTTTTTGTTTGTTTTCATCTGTCTATTTGCTTTTGGACTTTCATTGTACAGGATTCATTTTACGTATAATTAATTAATAGGATTGATTTTAATTATAATTAATTATGTTATAATGTAATTTATTTGAATATTAAAATTGATTTCAGCTGTACAAATTATCATAAAAAACATTACTTTTCAAAATTAAATTGTTGACAAAGTTATATTTAATATTATTAAATTTGTTAAACTTTATTGAAAAAGTAAAATATATTATTTAATAGTAAAATTGAAACTATAAGCAACCTCCCAGAATGTATTTCAAAACATGATTCTGACTAATAATCAATTATCAAATTAATTGGTTGTTTGGGTAATTTTTTCAAAAATCGATTATTTGGCTCCAAAAGTCAATTATATTGTCAATCCAAACAAGCTGTTGTGAGTTTTATTATGGAGAATGAAGTGTTTAGTTGATATCTGTCACACACTAAATTTCTAAAGTGTGACCGGCTGGAATATAAGAAAACTCATATTTCATAAGCCTAAACTCACATATTATCCGACATATTAATTACCCAAACTCATTGTATAATTATCGTTTGTATTAAACAACTACTAATATTATCAAAATATTTAACTTGTACAAATTTCGGTAGAGTCTCCCCTGTAAGTTGGACTACCTGAAATTTTTACAACCTGCCAAAAGAATACCCATACGGCATACAAAGTTCTACTCCAATACAGTATATATGTACAATTCCAGAATAATTCAATCAAGGATCCTACCTATAAGATTCGTGGAGCGAATCTAGAACAAAACTAAAATATTTAAATATTTACATTAATCCACAATCTGGACGGAGCAACAAAATACTTCTTGTTTCAAGGAGTCCCACGTGATCAAATGAAGAGCAGGTTCACTTCTACTATCTAAATACCAAAAAATTCTTCCAGTAAATAACGTTCCCAAATAATAATGATATTAAACAAAAATGATAATTATAAATGTATAATAGAAAAAAAAAAGATTAATCTAATTACAGAAGATATTAGAAAATAATAATATAATTTAATCTTGATAATTGAGTGAATAAAATAGAAAGGGAAAGTAAAGAATCATGAACAACCATTTAGAAATATGACTTTCTATATAAAATAAATCACAAAATACAATTCTTAAGAGCAAGAATATGACTTTAAAAAACTTATTTTCTGTTAGGACCTTAACAGAACGAATAACAGGTGTGGACACATAGTCCACGAGGGTGAGTAACAGCCAGCGTGGCTAGAAGCCACGAAAAAAAACAAGCGTGGATTATGTCCATGAAATTACACCCTCCGTTCCACGTGTGTTGGCCGACACACAGGGCTAGCACCTCTAATGTACCCTACTAGCTAGGTATGCCGTGGCGGGCCAAGAGCTAATGAAACTGTCGCTAGCAAACAGTGTTCTGTATTCAGTCCCGTAAAACATTTCTGGCATGCATGGAATCTATAAACTCTTGTAATTCAAATTGTTCTTTAATTTGGAAGATATAAACAATCTTTTCACGATAATTTATCTAATCCATGCATGTGTGTGTGTGTATATATATACATATTTACATTTTAAAAATGAAATACTATGAAAATATCTACATGATTAAAGTTGAGTCATAATCAAACTAATTACATATGAATAAACTAAATCTTAAGATATGAATGAAATAAAATAAAAATCAATTCAGAACAATTAAGGTAATTAAATAAGGTAAAAGAAAGATAATTGATTCTATATATTAGGGAACGTTATTTACTTACCTGGTATGCTGCCAAGTTCTAAAAATTCTCTTTTCTCAACTTTAATTTAGCTTCTCCTCTTCTGGAACCCCTATTAGATATAATAAAACTTTAATATCGCTTTCTACAATTTGAATCAATTTTTCATATGTCCACTTTTATGCCTCCTAATTTCTCCATTTTTATTCTTAGCCAAACTAATGGCATTGTTATTATTATATAATCCTAATTATGCTTCTACATCATCCTTTGCCATTGTATTAACATAATTATTATAACGCACACCCATATCATAATTTTCTTGTTCAGCAACAAAATTCAAGGTTTAAATTTTAATATTAACTAAAGAAACAACTCTCACCTTAATTGTACAACTCTAAATCAAAAGGGCAAGAAAATAGTTTAAAACTTAACATCTAAAGCAAGAGAAATATCAATATTCAGTATATATACCAGCAACACAAAGATGAGAATGAAAAATTCAATTAGCTAATTTAGCATGGTAGAGAAGAAGACATCTGCGACATAAAGAATAAGAGAAAGAAATCATCAGGCAAACCTCCACTAATGGCAAATCCACTACTCAACGTTCACACACGAAAAGAAAGGAGGAGATCACGGTTCCCTCAAGTTTTCAGCAACAGTGTGTGGTTTTTTTTTCTATTTTCATTTTTTTTCCGGTGCTGTAACAAACCAGAAAGTGGAGAAGAAAAAGAAAGGAAGGGCCAAAGAAACAAAAGACCCAATGGAGATGAATGACGGAGGAAGAAGAACGGAGAGCAAAGGTTGGTGGAAGCTTAGAGAATTCTCTTTCTCTCTTGCACTCGTCTGCTCTGCTCTAGTTTTTTTTCCACTCGTTTCTGTTTCTTTTTACCGACAAGGAAGAAGAAGACTTAAATAAAAGATAATGGGGGAAAATTACAGGAAAAGATCCAAACTTATTTGATAAAATTACAAAATATGACCCACCAAATTTTTTTAAAGATTATTACAATATCAAAAAAAAAATTAAGCCACCCACTCATGGAAACTAGTTCACTATACAAAGGCCATGGCAAACCATGTAGGAAGACTAAGTTTTAGTCATATCTAAAGCCAGAAAGCTTTTACAGTCATCCGGTGGTTTATTTAAGATCAAAAAATTAAAGTTCTCCAAATAAGATCTACAGGCCAAGAAATCAGCTCAACAATTTGCTTCTCTATACACGTGAACAAATGTGACCACCTAATCTCTCATGGTGAGGTCTTTGATATTTTTGATCGTGTTGAATAAAGGATGATATCCAAAATAGCTGTGATTAATAAGGGACGGCGCCTCCAATGAGTTTGAGTAGACGTCAACATTACTAAATTTCTCATTTCAACAAAAATTGAGGCCTTCATAAATTCCCATAAGCACTGCAGCTGTGTTAGGATAATAGTCGAGAAATTTGTGGAAGCCTTTAATTCAATTACCCTTATCGTCTCTAATGATGTCTCCACAAGTAACAGCACCATACATGTCGACTAAGCCATCAATGTCGAGTCTAACCTATCCAAATTTAAAAAAGTTTTATTTGACTTCATGTCTAAAGTCTTCTTTGCTCAAGTGATTTAATTTGGAGAGAAGCTTTAGGTCATTGTTGAACTAGTTCGTTATTTTAAGTTTGATAGATATGGTTGTGGTTGTGATTTGTAGTCCAATAAATTAACCTGCTCATAACTTCTATCCACACATTAGCTTCATCTTTAAAAGCTATTGCATTAGTGGGTATGTCCTTCACCCTATCTCATTGGGTTTAGTTTGGATACTCATTATTGTGATGAGATTTAGATAAGTTAAGATTAATTTGGACTACTCAAAAATAAATATTTAATTAAAGTTATAATTTCTAGCTTAAATTAATTTTTAAAAAGTAATAGTTAAAATATTATTTTTTTAGATTTTTCATTTGTTAAAATTCAAAAATTATTCAAATATATGGAATAAAATAATATTAATTTTGAACTATTTAGATTTAATGTAAATTGTCATCGCTAAAAATTCAAAAGTCATTCATTAAAACTTTTTATTGCCAAAAGGTCATTGCCATAAGTCTTGACAAACATATTTTTTTTGCAATAACAAACATTATTACTACCAAAAATACAATTTTCATAGCATTGTTGCCCCGCAAAATTTTTTTAGCCGCTAAAAATTTATTTTTATTGGGCAAATTTTTTCTAATAAAAAAAGTGTCACCTTATATCATATCAATCACCAATGGATCAACACATAGCATATCACATGCTACTTGAAGCCACGTGTGTTGAGTGTTGACTCATGACATATTACGGGTCACATTGCACTTCACCAATCATATGTGCATCAACTCATGTCATATCACATATTCATTATATTTATATGTCAATATTAAGACTTGGACATTTGATCTCTTACCTTTTAAGATTTATATCCTCCTTTGCAAATTAAATTAAAATACACTTATAGTCATTATAAGAAAAAATTATATATAAATATAAATATATATATATATATATTACTTAACTACACATATATCAAATAATATATTATTAAAAATACACATATTTCATTTTATTTATAATTATCAATATGACAAAATAATTATATTTACATGACTATTTATATTATATTTTTAATAAAATATTATTTTTCTAAGAAAATGAACTTAAAATGAAACAAATTTTAAATTTTAATTATTAAATTATTTCGTATAAATATTTTAGACAATTTTAAAATTTGATTTTTACTTTTTAAATGGCAATAATTAAGTATGTAATTTATTTATCTTTTCCATATTTTTGCAAAAAATGTTAAATTCCCTCCTTTTCTTCTTAAAAATAAATTTAATCTACAATTTTTCAATAATCTTAAAAAAATATTTTGATAAAAAAATAATTTTAACTATAAATATTATTAATAATTATTTTGAATAATTTTTAATTTTTTCACGAAAATTAATAACTTAACATACAAAATAATTACAAAGATATCACGTGTGACGTATCTAACCTCTAATTATTCCTTATATCTCATAAGGTAAATTTGAATAATTTTTCATATTTCTCATAAGTATTCAATTTTATAAGTAAGTCATTCTTTGTTTTTTTTTTTTTTTGTTGTTGTTTTAATAGCGTGAGACTGTTTGTGTCTAAGAACCCTAGAAAGGTGCTGAGTCACTAGAAATGAGTTATGATTGGTTTAGGAGCCATGGAAGTGAAATAGAATTGAATTGAAATAAAACCAGGGTCGACGCAATGTCACTGAAACTTTTGATGTAAAGGAAAAATGAGAAAATTCACATCCCTCCAGCCTTTTTTTTTTTTTAGAAGAAATACATCTCTTCAGCCTTGAACACAAATCTTTGCATGCAAAACTAAAGGCATATTTATAATATCAAATATAATATCTTTAATATTTTTCACATAAACCAAACAATAAATTTCTTTTAAAAATTTTGACAACTTTTTCCATAAACAAGACTTCCTGAAATTTTACAACAATATAACAAAAAGAGTTTCGTTCCTTACCAACAAATACAAGGACCTTGCCTTGCCTATAGCCCGCAGAGCAATTAGGACCAAAATACAAAAATAATACATAAATTCAAATTTAGATCTAGTTAAGATTTATCCAAAATAATTATTTCACCTTTTAGCAATAAAGCTCCTCAATGATGAAACAGGTTTAACTATACTTTTCACTAAACAACATTCCAATTTAAAATTAAAGGACATAAAGGAATGAAATATTAATGAAGTATGAATTTAACTAAAATAATCACATAGAATAACAGGAGTGATACCTCATAGATCAAATAATTTCATATAAATACTTAGTCCAAAGACATCTTCATATGATGAAAATACAATAATCCAATTCCACTTTCTAACTATGTCTGCATCAACCAGTTAGGAGTTGCACAACTAAAAAAAATCCACATATGAAAATTAACTAGTTTAACACAATTTGTTTAAAGACAATATATATTTCATGACTAGTTCTTTAGCAAGACCATCAAAACAACTAATAAGCATGAGTGTATAGTTCACAATAATAATAACCAATTAGACATGATTGGAAGTCACAAAACTAAATGTAGGCACAAGACTTACAAATAAAAAAGATGATCACAATGCTCACAAATAACAAGTGTGAAAATGATGCTTAAGAATACCAAGCAAGCTAGATTTTAATTATGGTGCACCAAAACTTAACAGGACTGTCATTAGCACTAGCATTTTGAAATCAATCCTTCAATTTTCTTCAAAAATGCATGGAAAATTATTCTATCTAATTATAAAATCTTTAAAGCAGCTATCTTTGTTTTGATCAATCTAAACTTCCTTTTCCAGTTCAATGCATGAATTTCTTTTAAGTAAGAATCATTAGGAATTGCACAAATGTTTTTCTTAATTATATACAGCTATAAATAAACCTTTCATAAAGTAAATCTAATCCTTCTCCAACATATCATGTTTTGAAATAATTAAGATATTTTTAATAAAGAAATAATCAACAATAAAAACATGATATACTGCAAGTAAACTATTTCTAGAATATGTGCGCGCGCGTCTGCACATGCTCAATTGTAATCTCGACAAAATAAAAACTAGCCTACATTGATTGGAATGCTATTCCTTTACTTGACATGTTTTCAAGTTCAAAATTTTACTCCCCACAACTTCTATTAATTTCTCTTTTCAAAACACCCTATAAAATAGATAATAGAAATTTAATATATTATCTACAAGTTAAAAAAACACTCTCAATATCAAACACAAACGTAATCACTGCAACAATTTAAAGTTCCAAAACACCATGATTTACACCCCAAAATTTCTCCAATTCTATCTTTAGTTATATACTCCTCCGTTCAAAAATATAAGATATTTTTTAATCAAATCTCACCTCCTAATAAAGCTCTTACCTACTTTTAAACTAACCTTATCTTTTCATATTTGCCCCTATTAACTACCCTATAATAAATATAAAGTTACCATCAGTAAGGGGCACTTTTGAAAAAAAAGTCAATGATTACACCTCAAAAGATTAAAAATGCCTTACATGTTTGAACATCCAACTCTTAAAAAAAGTGCATTACATTTTTAAACGAAGGAAGTAAATACTTTCCTAAGGAACGCCATAATCATAATTAAACTTATGCTTCCATCGCTCTCTCTCCCCCTCACACACACAAGCGCAGGCACATTTTTTTTTTTATACAAATACAACTAAATTTTCCTTATTTTTAACTCTTAATTATAGTTCCTTGAAGTTACAAAAGGAACAACTTCACGTGCTAATTATAACATGTAAATCCAATAAATTTACATTAAAAATTCATATCAAACGCCTCATGTGCAACCATGAATACCAAAAAAAAAAAAAAAAATCATCAAACTTCTTACTCTTAAATTCTCAGGCCCCAGCTTCCAGACATCTTTATAAATTTAAATCCAATACGACACAACCTAAATCCTCCATGCACCAAAACAAATAGACTAGAAATGGGAAATCAAACATGCTACTAATACACAAGAACATAGCAGCAAAGAAAAAGAGTTGATAGGATATTCAGACACCAGTTTGTGCAAGAGGAAGAAGGGAGAAACGAGCTCAGCACAGCAACGTCAAGATCAAGTGAGGAAGAAGGATTGAAGCTCTACGCACTCAGTGAAGTGTCAATGGAACAAGCAAAGAGGAGGAGAACGAAACATAAGAAGGAAGGGTGAAAAAGAATTTGTCGCACCCACGGCAGGGGCACGGACAAAGGAGGAAGAAAATTCCGACATGCCCACGCTGACTGATGGACACGGAGGTGGAGGAAGATGAACGACAGGGCAGTCGAACTCTCCCTCTCGCAGCCATGCATGACAAAAAAGGGAACCAAGATGGAGTTTTTTTTAATCTCTATATCTGCGTAATAGTCTAAAAAACAATAAATACCATATCTAGAAAAAATACATACATACATACATGTGATGGAGTTTGTTTTAATCTCTATATTTGTCGAAATAGTCTAAAAAACAACTAAATACCATATCTACAACAACTACAAAAGTAGGGAATCATAAATCCAGAACACTAGTAACAACATAAGGTATAAACAATGTCAATAAGCCTTTGGTTTGTCATTTTCACCTGCATAAATCATATGTTCAGATCAAACTATATCACATTTTACGTACAGAAGGTAACTTGTAAATCCCATATTTTTAAATTAGAGATCTCGCTTGTAAATGCTTTAAGTTGACTTCTTGTTCCAAGAGGTTTGTAAGGTGAAAAATAGTAAAGAAAACTATTTTCACATGCACGAACCATGTGTTCAAATCAAACAGTTTAACATGTAAACTACATAAAAAGACTTGTAAATTACTAATTTTGACTTGGAAGTTGGAAATATTTCACTTGTAATTACCATTACTTTTAAATACTTGGAGATTATGGAGGTTTAACCCAAATTGGTTTAGAATCATAAACAACTTACATGTAAAAATAGCATAATCACCTGCAAATCATCCCTAGAAGTCAACTTTTCCCATACAACATTTAAATTAAACAATAGGTTGTGCGGATTGTCACGTACTAATTTTTAAAAAGAAATGAACCATTGCTACAAAACATTTAATAAAAATAAATTTAGCATTTGCTATGAAGCAATGCAATTGGTCACCCACTCAATTATCGATTACAGGCACTAGCAATTTAATAAAACGAGTTAGAATGAATGGATGGACCTTTACAATCCAGGTAGAATCACAACATTTTGGATTAAAAAAAAAAAATTGCCCCAGCGGGCCTAGAGCATAGTAGCTTGAACAATACTAGTCACAAAATTTTATTCAAATGGGCATAAACATAATAAAATATACAAGTTCCTAATGGAAGACAGATTATCAATAACTACGATATTGATACAAAATTATTTAATTAACCACAAGACAAAAACAAGTTAGTTTATTTGAGCTTGTCCTTAATTTGCAGGCATACTCTTCAATATAGCCCAGAAAAATATTCACCACCCGTCCAAAGCTCCAAATCTGAACAAGGAAATTTGCGGAAATATGAAGAAAATGGCCACCTCTGACAATTAAATAATGAAAGAAGGGAAGCACAAACAAACAAACAAATAACAATTAATAAACAAATGGGAGAAAAAAATAATCTCAATCGTGTCATAAACTTAAAAACAACCAAGCTTCAGTAAGTCAATCCAAATTCATCATATAAGGAAAGGAAAAAGTATGATCCTATGTTTTATAGCAAAACAAATCAATGCCCTAAAACTCATACAGGAGCTACCTAGTTAAGAAAATAGTCGTTGGGCTTCCAGGATGTTGTGTCTGACAGGAGAGAGAAAGGGAGAGAAATAGAGAGGAGGATGATGAAATGTAACAACAACGTATTTTAAAGAAACCTAGGCTAGTGTATTATTATTGTATTTTGCTTTAGCTTGTAAGAAATCTACCTGGGTTGTAGCTTATTCTAGGAAGAAATAGGTCTCCTTTTGTTTTATTTTGGCAAGAGGAAATCTGTAACTTAGCTTTATATGGATGGGTTATTAAGGCCTCCTTAATAGGTAGGAAAGCTTAGTTTAAATAGACTAAGCCTTGCACTTGTAAGATAGACTAGACTTGATGAATGAAATATTGCGATTGAGTTTCTGATAGCCTTCCTCCTCTCTCTGTGTTCGGCCTCTCCCTTTCTTGTTGCCCCTACTGTTCTGTTCCTCGTTCTCATTTCAGACTCTCTGTTTCCATTTCTCCCTACTCTCCCTTTGTTCAGATCTCTGCAAGTGTATGTGAGTGTGTGTTACATCAGAAGAGAGAGAAAGGCGGTAGGTAGAAGGAGAGAGATAGAGTTCAAAGGCGAGAAAAGAGAACAGAGGAGGAGCATAGGAACGGACTATGTTCATTCAGATTACACACACTTTACAACGACTCCTTATTCCCTTCTATAGCCATAGGTTCACTAGAATTCCTAGTTGTCTATTATACCCTTTACTAACTACGGAACTAACTTGTCACTATAACAATTATGAAACATGAGAGATGGAGGACTCTGATTTAGAAGAGAAACTAAAGAGCCCACATTAGCCAAAAATTAGTCACATACTCATCCCTATAACAGTCATCTATTCCCTTTCATTCAAATATATAAACGTGCAGCAGAACAGAAAGGAACGGAATAACATACCAAAATGTTGAGGTTTGTGCCGATTAGCTATGGTAAACTATGCTTTAGCTGCAGCCACTGAAGAATCACTTCTTGCTTCACTACAGGTTGGGTGGCTGAGGTTCGCTCCCAAATTTCTGGTTCTCTTTCTCATCCGTTGTGGGTTGGGTTGGGTTTGCTTCGCTGAAGAATCGCTCCTTTCTTAATTGTCCTCTTTCACATTCACCATCAAGGAATCGCTAGCACCATCCTCTTTCTCATTCCTCCACCCTTGTTCTTCATGGATTTATTAGTTGATACTTGTTGAGGGTGGTAGCAGCAAGTAAAAATGTGTGAGTTCAGGTTTTTCTGCTTTTGTGGGGTAGGGATAAAATGTTTTTTACAGCCAAATAACTTTCTCTCCATTCAGGGACAATGTAGTCTTTACACATGAAACCCAAATTGCAATCAGGTCCCAAAGGACTTGGCTGTATTTTTTAAAATTCACAGGACTTATTAACAAATAAGTCCTTTACATGGGATCTATATGTAATTTTCCCCATATCTTTTCCCAGTTACACAGACTAAATAGTTGGAGAGGTTTCAAATTGTCATTAACACATACAATTATACACTAAATCCACTTGTTTCTTCTCCATATCATATTTTCCTCTTGAACTTTATATTGAGTTTCAGTTTAATGGTTAATCTATTTTTCTTGATTATGTCCCAAAAATAAAAACATAGATCTAAGTCAAAGGAGAGAACTCAAGTATAATCCACCACTACCAAGTAAAAGGTCTTCATATTATCTAAAAAGAGGAAAAAAAGAGGAAAAGAGAGAGGGTAAATGGTATTCAGTCTAAGGCCAAATTTTCAAAAAGGATACAACTTACAGTGCCTTAAACATTAACTCTTCAACTATTCCACAGAATAGTTATCATAAAACTATTTAGTAGTTTAATAATTAGTTCTATTCAAACTAATACTTACGAATATTAGTTAGCTCTGGCTACCTAATACTAGAGTAACAACGAGAAGCTTAGTTTAATGGGATATTATGCTTAGGTGCAAGTTAATGTAGCAAGATTAAAAGGAAAGAAAATCAAATTGATTCATTTTTTTCGTTCCAAAGTAATCACTCTAGCCTTCCCTATTTTTTATGCCACTAATTAGGCATTTCAGAATTAGGTACTCCACTAAGAGAATAGTTATACACAAGCCCAACCAAGTATGCCATACCCCTGGCAAACCCATGTTTTCCATGACAAATAAAGGCCTCTTCAACACTAATCCAGTATTTTTCATGTTATTATCATGTGGAAATTGAGGCCATAAAAAAAAAAAAAGGGTGGAGGAGGAGGATGAAGGGGGATAAGGCAAATGCATTTCATTATTGTCCAAAGCATCCATTGAATCAAACTAAGAATAAAAAGTACAAATACCGCCATTCAGGTGCTTCTTTCTTGTTGTGTTGTCCAAACTAGCACATCGCCATATCTTTTGAAACATTACTGTCCCGATGACCAATCCCCACTCTTGCCACCTGCTTTATGCTTTAGTCTCACATCTGTAATAACTATATCTTTTGAAGCAGCCTTACACATATCATACACTGTTAAGCCAGCAATAGTAACTGCTGTCATGGCTTCCATCTCAACGCCAGTTTTCCCTGTTGTTGCAGCTTCCCCTTCTATCATTACACTGTGGTCTGTATGATTCAATTCCAAATCCACTCGTACGTGACTAAGAATTATGTTATGGCACAATGGAATAAGACTACTGGTTTGCTTAGCACCACTTATGCCTGCGATTTTCGCCACACCAAGTACATCCCCTTTGGCCATTTGATTTGCTAAAACCAAATCAAACACATGCTTTCCAAGAATTACCTTGCAACTCGCAATGGCAGTTCTTTTAGTATTTTCTTTTGGGGACACATCCACCATTTGAGCCTCCCCACTACTGCTGGTATGAGTCAAACCAGAAGTACTTTCAAATGTTTTTGGGTTATTTGCAGGACCATTACTCCCAGCGCCATCAAATCTATTTGAAGGAGGTTGACCAAATATTGACTCCAATTGCTGAAATAGTGTAAGAAATTTAACGTGAACAACTACATTGTCAAAATCTCAGCACAGGATGAAGTAAAGAAGGATTTTACCTCGTTGAGTTCTTGAATATCACTTGCAAGGTCACGGCCACTGTAAGTGCAAAACATCCTCTTCAAGGAAGGACATGCACCTACAATTCGTTGAAGAAACATTATAAGCAGGTCCAGATTCTCCTGGTTCTTAGTATATAGCTAACTGCAAGAAAATGAAAATTCCAGTCAAATTTGATACTTGCAAATAAAAAAAAACAATCAACTATATGAAATTTGATATGCTTTCATTACTGCAGAAGAGCAAGAGCGAAAATCATAGACAAGTGTATAAATGAGACTGTAGCACTCTGTCCATAACCTTTACTACGCTCAGTGGAGGCAGATGCCCCCATCCCTTTTAATTTTTGTTCCAGATACTTTGACACAGCTCAAACCAAGTCATTTACAAGACCATACATGACAACTACCTTGAGAACTTCCAAAACTGATGATAATATAAAAAGATTAATAAACAGAATGCCAATACACAACAAATCCAACATTGCAAGACAACACAATCCAAATCATACAAGTCGCTAGTAATCAAAATGAAGAGGGAAAAAGTACAATAGCCGATTATACATCATTCAAGCAAGAACTAGTACAAAAAATAAACTCAATATATTAATTCCCAATTCAAAAGCGTCAATATTCAACGATTAGAAGACCAGATTCAAAGCCAAATTAAAATGAAAATTTCAAAACAAAGAAAGAACAGCCACGCAGGGAACAGATAACGCGGGGTACAAATTCAAATCTAGATTCAAAGCCACATTAAACAAATCAATCTCACCGGATTTTGGGAGTAGAAAAAGCTCTAGGATTCGAACATTCTTCACTGCTTGCCCAGAACAACCACGCAGAGCCGACAAAGGTGGACGGCGACCGACGGAGTGTGGAATGGCTGGTCTAACGACGAGAACTAGATCCGCTCCTAACAGACAGGGTTTTGTCGGGGTTATAATTAATTAAGGAAGAATTTGGGTATATGATGAAAATTAATTACTCAAATTGCAAAATTATTTACTTTAAATAAAATTTTTTTATTAATTTATACTTATAATTTTTCTTATAATCAATTTATCAACTCTTAAAAAAAAAATCTTCTGTTTCAAATAAAAATTTTTAAATGAGATTTTCACCACAATTTTTTTTTAAAAAAAAACTCTTAAGTATATCTAATGTCTTCTTTAAAAAAGTTCCTTCTCATTCTTTTCTAATATTTGGTAAATCTTATTTCTTAACTTTTCTTTCACTCCGATAAATATATTATTATTTTCAATAGATTTTTTTAATACAACAATCTATTAAAAAAATATAAAAAAAAACCAAAACATTATATTTTAACTTATTTGAATAAGTGGATCACCCAAAAAAAAACAAAACAAAACAACTTGACGATTTTTTTCTCTCATTAAGCTTTTTCCGTTAACTAGACTTTTATGCTCCTAAGTGGTTGATTGGTCACGCAATTCGTGTCTTTGACGGGTCAACCTCTCATTTTCCTGGACTTTTCTCACATCTTCTCTTATTGGGCTTTTCTTTTAGATCTTGCTCATTTTTTTTATTCAAATCAATGTTTTAATCATATATTGAATTAAAAAGGCCAACAATTTACAATTCATATGATCTAACTGATCAAACTAATGACATAATAATTAAATTAAAATATATATATATATATAATAATTTAAATATAAAAAATAAATATAAAATTGTTATTTAACTTAAAAATAAAATTAAATATTTTAAGTTTATTATGACTAAACAAGCCATACAATAAAGTATAACATCAAATAATTAAAAAAATAGGTCATTTTTTGAATATAATTTTTTTCACTACAATGTTACATGCAAAATGTTTAAGCATTTTATTGGTCATTTTAAGTTTACTTTGCTATTCTGGTTCTGCTCTTTCATTACTCTAGGTTTGTTCCTCTTTATATGGTCAATATTTGCAAGAACCTGAAACATTTAAGGAGTGAAAATGCACCAAAAATGTTTAGGGGTAATTTGTCGTGATTTTAAAAGTTTAAGAGTGAAAATGCAAAAAAAAAAAATTATAATTCTAGATACTGCTATGCTGATAATAATGTAACGACGAAATTACCAATATAAAATTATAAATTATTTATCTATTTTTAAAAGGATAAAGTTTCATTTTACTTAATATTCCAAATATAAAACATACTTAATTATGAATTACAAAGAAAAATTATTATTTGTCGTATTGAACAACAATGATGTGGTCTCATATTTGTGGAAAAACGGTGATCTCCATGGGACAAATTTTTTTTTTTAATGATATCATTTCATCTAATATCTAGAAGCGACATCGAATTTCAACTAATCCAAATCGAGCCGGGAAGAAGAACAAGGGTGGCAAAACTCTTTGATTGAATCTTATTTAATGATGCTATGTGTTGAGAATTCAAATCCACGACTACTGGTTAAGTTAGCATGGCCACTTAGCTAAGCTATGCATTCTTTGCTTCCATGGCACAAATTCTAATAACATATCAAAGTATCAGTATTGTTCCAAACACATATACAAATTCTTAAGCTTAATTAAATTCCCTTGATAGGTTGAAAAAGTAATGGCATTATATGATTCATAGTCTGAGGATCTTGATCAATATGCCCATCCCCATGTTGATACATGTAGAGAGACATTCTAGCAAGATTTTCAGCAACTTGAATGAAACTCTTTGAGTAAGAAGAATTGAAAGCTTCTTTATTTATCTTCTTCCAAGTTTTCAAATATCAAGAAATTTATGTGCCTGCGCGCATTGGACTCAAAAGCCCCAGTTTCATTCACATAACACTCAATTGATTTGGGTACATCTCTTGTCTCCTTTTCACGCCAACAAACTTAAAGATGAAGACAAATTAATACCATAAATCATGCTATTCATGGAATTTAATAAGGGGTAAAATAAAAATTTGGCCTTTAAATTATAGGTTGATGAAAAGCATTTGAGATCCTAAATTTATTTTTTGTGCATGTTCACTTGTAAATATTTAAAATTGTGGCAATCTCCACTTTTCCATCAAGTTTGACCATTAGTTGACTCAAAAATTACAGGAAAAAACCAAAAGAATCATATAAAAGAACCCAAAATCACAAATAAAGATTACTTATACATTATATATTATATTACAAATAAAGAAAAGGACCCAAAAATTACAAATAGTATATAATATATAGGTGTACTTTATTTGTAATTTATGGATTCTTTCATGTAATTTTTGAAATATTTTTCTATATTTTTCTAAACAACTAATGGTTAAAGTTAATAGTAGAAGGAAGATTACACGATCTTAAATATTTAGAGGTAAAAATGTACCAAAAATAAGTTGAGGGCTCTAGATATTCATGGGATTATAATTTAAAGGCGAAATTATTATTTTAAGCTCTACTTAAATAACTAGTTAAAGGATGACATTGTATACGGTACCTTAGATGTTCCCAAATCATTAGTAAGGCATAAAATGGTTGCTGAAGAATGAATACTTTCATAATAATCTTCTAAGGAAACAAAGTTCTCCTTTGTTCTTGAAGCATGGAGTGAAAATAAGCATGGATGAGTATGACAGGCACGCTAATTGAAATACATGCATTTTCCAAGTACTCTTGTAGGGTTGGTTGATAGTCATTAGAGTACCATTGTGCTTCAACCAAATATGATTTCCAAAGATCAGCCCACTGAAAACAAATTGAACACACAAAATTTAATTAAAACATGAAAATATAGAATCAATGTGGTTTAATTAATGTTTTTAATTCTATATTGCTTGGTATTATGAGAAATCTAGGGTATTACCTTTTCCCATCTAAATTAATCCCAACTCCCATTGTGTGGGATCATTATTACCAATAGTAGCCCTATAGGTACCTCGATGGTGCTTTTAACATATTTATTTAATGCGATTGCATATTTCAAGACTCAAACTTAATATCTTCGAATAAGTTGATTCAAATCCTTTGATCAGTTAAACCAAATGCCCCTCAATTTAATTAATTTTAATTTTTATGATATAGAATATATATGAAATCATGAATAAATAATGCATACTGCTTTTTTAAGGTGTGGAATGATGTTTTGCCCATTGTCTTTAAGGAAGTCAAAAGCCACGTCATGAACAAAGTTATAAAGAGCAACGAAGCATATTTTCATGTCAAAAGCCACGTCATGAACAAAGTTATAAAGAGCAACGAAGCATATTTTCATGTAATCTAGAAATACATCCATGGCATTTACTCTTGTATTTTGTATATCTCAATTCATATGAATAAGTAAAGAATGTATGCGTACCTGAAGAATCCATGAGCACTTGAGAAATCTCAATTATCTCGAGTGTAGATAGATGCACAACCCATAGGTCCCTAAAGTCTTCAGAGAGTGCAAAGATAATGGAGCAGTAAAGAATGAGTCGTGTGTTTGTAGTTATCGACTGATCAACTTATATGAATCAGATCGATAACCACCTTATTAAATAATTAAATAATCATATATTTTATTATCTCTGACTCAGTCAGTTAAGAGATAGGGAATAACTGACAGCTACTGGGTTGTGGGTTAGGCTTCTGCCTATTAGGCTCATTTGTATGATCCACCTATCACGGTCTACACAAAATCATAAAGATCAATCTGTTGGGCTTATTAATTAATGTTAATCCATAAATAAATATTCCAATAATCTCCCGCTTAGATTGCATTAATTAAGCAAGTAGTATAAACAAGCCACAGACAAAATTTAGAAAATTAAACTCCACAAAATCACTGGATCCTATGGACAAACAAGTGATATAATGTCTCATAATCTGAATAAAATACAAAAACTTTATTTCAAACATAGCTCAGTAAGATAACAACATAAATCACTGATTCCTATAGGGAAATAAGTGACATACACAGCGTACCATAACAGAATCATTGAATCTTATGGGGATACAAATGATATAGACGCGTCTAACTGAACTAAACATAACTCATAGAAGAAAACAAAAGCCTAAAGAGAAATTGCAATACAAAAGGTTCTCAAACTCTTACTAAACCAAGGCATTAAAGGATTTCACAATACCCATACAAGTTACATGATTTTGAAAAACTTCTACAAGTAAGCCCTTGGTCAGCGAATCCACAAGCATCTGCGTGCTAGGAATGTGTACCACACGAGTCTGAGACTCAGTAATTTTCTCTTTCACAAACATAAGTTTGATATCAAAATACTTTGTACGACTAAAATTTTTGTGGTTGTTAGTATAGTATACTGTAGATTTGTTATCACAGTAAATAGTTAGAGGACGTGATATTGACTCAACTAGGCGCATGCCAAGTATCAACTTCCTCAGCCATATAGCGTGACGTATAGTCTCAAAACAAGCAATATACTTGACTTCCATAGATGAAACTACTGTAAGTGTCTGTTTCACACTTTTCTAAGAGACAGCTCCTCCAGACAACATGAAAATGTAGCCGATACTGGATTTACGATCATCCAAACAAGAGGTAAAATCTGAATCTGAAAAGCCAATAATCTTAAGATCTTCTAATCCCTTTAAGTCATAATCAGAATACCCAACAACCTCAAAAGAATTTGACCTTCTATAAGTCAATATATGATTCTTTGTACCTTGAAGATACCTCATAACTTTCTTAGCAGCCTTCCAATGATTCAAACCTAAATCATTTAAGTATCAATCTAACACTCCAATGGCAAAAGCTATACCTGGTCAAGTACATAATTGAACATATATAAGGCTGTTGATAGCAAAAGCATCTGGTATCTTTCTCATTTCAGCCCTCTTTTTATCATCCTTGGGACATTGTAACTCTGACAACAGCTCACCTTTTTGTACAGGAACAGGTGAGGGAGAACATGAATCCATTCTAAATCTCTTAAGTACCCGCTCAATATAATTGGTCTGTGATAAAC